TATCAGAACCACAGAGTCGTAATGCTCTTTGAAAGTCACCAAAGCAACGAAGTTTCTTGGTGCTGTTGACATACAGAAGACCCTACGACCTGACTGATGAAGCAACAGATTTTTTGCACATACCTCCAGTAACACTCAAAATCAAAACAGGTCAAACGGTTTCTGTACTTTTGAGAATATCTATTTACTCTACTTTGCATCTGAGGCTAGCTAACGCTAAGGTTTATTCCGGGGTAGTAACTACGAGTGAAAGCACGCAAGACGTAGACACAGACTGCCAAATCTAACAAGTGCGCGCAGCAAAATGGTGTGCGGGGAGGTATTCAAGTCTACCGAGGCAGTTACCCTCAGCAACGGTCGAAAGAGTGTGGTTCCGGCTACAAACGACAGAAACGAGGTTTTTTTCTATAGACTGCTGATGTGATGAGACTGCACAGAATAGTACTGCATACCGTACCCTCGATTATGCACCGCTCTTTGTCTCGATCGACAGATCACGATCGCGAAGCGATGGCTTGAACATGTGCAGAGGATAATTTTGGAAAGGTTCACAAGATTAAATTCAATCTCGGCAGAGTAACATTGCAGGTGGTTCGATACACAGAACACCTTGTAATCCAGCCCGTGCAGCCTGTCCGATTGAGATAGGATTGAAGCAATTAGAAAAATATTCCACCGCTGCTGCTCAAAATCGCAATAAACAGTGGACTGTGAAAATAAGTACAGATTCGCATAGTCTTCGCAGTGAGCCTTTCTTTCGCCTCAGATATGCTAAACGATCTCATAGCTAGCGTAATATCCGAAAAAATCGAAATTGTGATGCGACCTTGATCCCAAATTTGTTGGGCCAGATTTGAGACGTTCGGCCGACAGATCACCAAAATGCCGTACAAACCAAGGGCAAGGCGTATAACGAAACCGTCAGGCAAGACTGATGCCATCATCCAAAGGTGGACTACAAATTACAGGGGGCGAAAGAATTTCCGAACCAACACGATCGTTTTCGGCGGTTGTGCCTAAGAACGTCACTAGTGTGCTGTCCAAGGTGATCGATCGAAAACGGTTAGCAATCGTGCGACGACCACCTGAACACATGAATAAAGCCTAGGTCATATGACAACTGCACAATGCATTTGATGCATGTCTCTCGTTCCTTCTGGTTGGCGTCAGCAAACTTCAGTTTGCGTAGGTGCCGCACAGAGTTATGGCGACTACTAACAAACCTGTCGGTCCGCACAGCATTAACGGGAAACCATATTTATCGGAAATGGTGAACGATGAACAGAAGACGGTGAACTAGATAATTCGAATATACGTCGTATAGGATGATGTTCAAATCTTGCGGGATTAAACCACAGAAATTACAAACAGAATTGATAGAGACAAAGTAATTCACGAAGACGCCGCATCACAAACAATGAATGTAAGATATTCCAGTGATAATGATGTGAACTTATATGGCTAGAATCGGGCAGCCTGGGGATACCACGAAAAAGTTTAAATCAAACAATGGGCCTGTGAAATTCTAAACAATGTTAATGATAGAGAGAATTTGAAGATTAAAATCTTAAAATCTGTTTCAAACTGAACTCGTAACAGATCAAGCTGGCCGGTGTCCTTCAATTTCAGCCTTTCACCCACGTAGTACTCACTCACTCATTTTCAATATCCACTATTCCATTGGAAGTCGCAACGACTGTTACTTAAAGAGAGCCTTCAATAGATCCGTTCCATTTTAAATGGACAAATTCCACGATCTGGATTCAAAGTGCGACAATGAATGGTGTTTTGTATATCCAGCTATTTCATCCGCAGTCTGTGCAATGACCGTCTTCCCCATGACCTGACCAAAACAACGCGTTCCAGCGAAGAGACTATGTTGCATTCTCCATCAATCCGACAATTTCGCACAGTATTCAGACGAGTTTTTCAGTGAATCTTGAGTTATCAAGATTGTGACACTATTTTACAGCAACAACTCTCGATGGTCTGTCTAAGGTACCTGAACTCCCTACCGTTGGAAAAGTGAAATTCTCCGTAATTCGATTCAAACAGTGCCCTCAGTTACG